CGACCGGCAAACGGAAATGTGTTCCTACTTTAATTGCCTAATTAATCAGCTATGCCCTCACGCGGGGCATAAATAGTTGAATAAAATAGTTAATATTTCAGTGCTCACATTTCTGCTTAAAAAGGGGCATTGTGTTGCACCAAAGTTCAGTAAGTTATTCGCTTGCCAAGAGCCAAGCTGCATTCAAAATGTCATGCGCCGCATGGCTAATGAATTGATTGCATTGCCAGAGAGATTCGTTTTGAGTAGGGCTGCTCAGAAGGCCAACTATTATTCGAAGCCCACAGACAACCTCCCCTGCCCCTGACCACTTGTTTTGGGCCACTGGCTGCCTAATTAGCAGGTGGCAAAGAGTATTTTTCACGCGCTTCACTTCCCCCCATAAAACAATAGAACCGCGAGGCATTTGCAATTGACCGGGCATATTTGCTGTTTGGTGAGCCATAAAGTCCATTAACAGGCACATGTAAATGCAGTTACCGGCAGCCACACAAGTTGGCCAAAACACTTGGCCATAAAGCGACGTCTTCTCGGGTGTTGAATTACTTTTGGGGCGGCAACAAATTTGCGACACGATGTCAAAGTCACACAACTGGCCGAGTCAGCCGAAATGGCCAGAACTGGCACGCTTTGTAAAGATTCTTTGTCTCTGCTTAATTTATACAAGCGCTTCTTAGATCGCACAACCATTTACATATGTGGCTTGGAATACGGGTTCTTGAACTCACCTTAAGCTGGTTGGATATCTTTCCAGCACGTGCTATTGCCGTGCCAAATGTGGACGGGGCTATGGCAATCGAGGAGCTGACATCACAGAAGAGTATCAGGCCCAATCCAAGGAGCAGAAGGCTCAGAAGTGGTCGAAGTCCAGTCGCTGTCATTGTGCGTTTGCTTTGTGTCTGGGTAAACAAATCGGAATAATGCATTAGTGGATGGCCCGTGTTATGGCCAAATGTGTTTGCCAAACGTCAATGTCCAAGCCGAAATCGAACCGAACCGAACCGAATATTGAATAACGAATCGAAGTGCGCAACGCTTCTGAGCCAACTTCTTGGTCAGGGCCAAGACAAAGACGCGAATGTCAACAGCTTGGCTTGGCTGGGCTTTTAGACGCTCTTGCGCTTGACTCCGGCTCCACTCAACTTGGCTCTGAGCCACTAACTTGGCTCAGTTTTCAGTTTTCTCAGCTTTTCCACCGCCAGCCAGTGGTGCCAGTGGTCTCAATCTAAATTGCTTGCGATTATTTTCGAATTTGTTTACAGTGCTTGTCTTGAGCTAATACAGACATTATTCAATTTTGTTTTGCTGCTGTTGTTTTTATTGCCGAGTTATTTTTTCCTTACGAGAGGTCACTAAATATTTTGCATGCTCACAGGGCGTATGATTAATTAGTAATTCATATGGCTGTAGGTTTATTCCACATTATGGCGTGTATGCATATAAATTTATTTAATATATTTTTTACATAAAGGCACAGACCCAATGACAACGGACTAATTGAATGACAAGACCGGAAATCAGGGCGAGAAGGTCTCAAAGAAGCTAACGAACTTTATTCGTGGTTTTCATAAATCTGTTAATCAACCTGATATGGAAACCTTTTGGCCTAGCTAGTAGTAATGGTGTTAATTATAGTTCCGCTTCCTTAACAGTTTCGTTAAACTGGGCCATAACACATATATGTATGTATACACCAATTTTGCCAATAGGCACGCCCCCAGTAAACCAGTAACCCAGAGCCACTTCCTCCTTTTACAAAAGCCACGACATTGCCGCTTTCCTCCCTCCCTCTTGGCCGAGTAAGCCATTCGTAGTTGCCACAATGCCATGGCAACACTTGCACTTTCCTTGAAAGTTGCACCACCAGCTGGAAATGCAGAGTCAGAAGAGAGGCAGTTGCCGATCAGCTGTGCGCTTTTCTCTTGGCCACAAATTCAGCGTATTGAAAATATGCCTTATGATTACAAGAAACATATGCAAATTGGACTTGAATTTTGCGCAATTCTGCATACAAAGCGGCAACGATTGAGTTGAAGCCAACTATTCCAATAGTAGAATGTGGCTATTTTGTAATGACCAGGCCAATTGAAGAGCTGGCAAGCGAAGTAAGAGAGAGTCAGAGAGGGCCAGCACAGAAATGGCCAGCTAAACGGGAGCTGCAAATGCAACTGGGATCGGGATTCAGGCCGAGATGGAGGCTGCGGTGGTGGTGGCGGTGGTGGTGGTGATGCAGACTTGGCCTGGAGCCGGCCAGACGGGCTTGCGACGCCTTACGTAAGAGGCGAGCAAAACAAAAAAGGTAAATATTGACATGAAAAAATTAAGCCAAGCCAATGACTGAAAGAAATGAAGAGATAAGCGCCAAAAGAGAGCAAGAAAGAGAGCGAGCGAGGTGCGAGAAAGCGAGAGTTTGGCCAAAAAGATGATGGCCCACTGGCTTTTGGCGTGCGCCGCTTAACAGTAAATTTCGCTTGACCCATTATATAAAAAGGTAGCCGGGGACAGGCAGCAAAAACGGAACTAATTCAAAACTATTTTCAAATTCGCCAGGCCCATTCGAAAGGCATCTGCTTACAAACCGACACATCTGCTGGGGCCTGGAGTTTCATTAACAAAAGCTGGCTGGCAAATATTTCACCAGCAAACAGGCAAATATTTGACACACATACTTTTTCTGAACCCAGCTCAATGACTCAACAAGACGGCAGCTGCAGTGAGCGATTTGCAACAGATTTGTCGGCTAAATGTGTCAACCTAATAGGCAGCAATCAGCATTAGATTTGATTAATTCTCGGAATTACTCGGACCACCATTTCTGAGCACTAAAACACTGTTAGCAGCACCACGTAATTGGCTAAGTGTGTTGGGCAAGTTCAAGTTTGTGGCCCGAGTCTTTGGCCCGCCACATCGATTCAGCTCCATTCAACTCAATTCGATTCGTTACGTTTCGTTCCGTTTCGACTTTTTTCGATTTCAGCTTCAATTTTTGGACTCTTCGCGTACCGGAATGTTTCGTGCTCCACGTTCGACTGTCGCCGACCAACTGAAGCTGCGACTGTGCAGCGGTGCGCTTAAGCGTCAAATTGCTGCGGCTTATACCTTATACCTTAACCGGCAGCGGCATGCAAAACATGGCCAAGAGTCTGGATGTTCCGTAGCAATGGCTAGGCGACCTGAGCGGAATTCGTAGTTGGCAGTGTAACTTGTACTGTCGTTATTCTGGACTCAACATAATAGGGCGGAACTCCTAGGCTCTTCTTACGCAAATATGTTTCTTATATTTTAAGCCAACATGACATACTAAGACTTTAACCATATCTTGATTTAAGTCCTTCAGTTTATCGCTGGCTTTTGTAAATTTTGCTTAATTTATTTGTTCAGGTGGCTACTAATTTGTAATAATAACAGCGTTGATTAATAAAACACCTTTGTCTCTTTTTAAACACATATAAATGATTAATTGTTTTCAAGCAACTAATTATTAGTGGAAACCGCTTATAAAGCTAATGACTGAAAGGGTATTACCTCGGCTAGCAACATGGAAATATATATAAATTGGCTTTTAGCCAATGGACACCAGACTAACAGTTTGTTTGAATAGCTGTGCTTCTGTGGTCTTAAATTATGGCCAAACTTATTAAGGGACCGCTGTCACGCCGGCTCACGCATAATTATGCAAAATTATATACCTAGCATAATTCAATTTTGGCAATTGGTGATTGCTGGTCCGCCCATAGTAAACTTATTCTTTTTGGGCATTTCGCATGGGCAGACATCTAAAACTCGTCTTACTTTAGTTACTTTAGGTAGCAGCCATAACTGCGGGCACGTGAAATTGGACGCGTTTATCAACACCGCGGAAAAGCAGTTGACACTGGGGTTAGAGATGGCCAGTCTCGTTTACCGTTTGAGATCAAGGATGCAACTAATAATCTGTGGCACAATAAGCCAAGGCAATGCGATCTCGATGTGGAAAATAAGCTGGCCAATGGCAATGGAATGACAACTGTAATGGCGACTAAAGTTAACGTTAACAATTAATGCCAGTCGCCGGATGGAAATGAACTTTTCACGCAGCCCGTGTAATTAACTAAGCGATTGCCCAACTCGATCGTCAAGACACTTAGTTGCTATATTAGCGGAGCAATTAAACAGGGGAAGTCTTCCACTGATTAATCGTTCTCGGAGGAGGCTTCTTGGTGACCTCGTTGCCGTTTGTTCTCACTCCGGTGCTTTGCAGCCAGGTTTAATATTTAGCCATGCGCGGATCGTAAACAAAAGAATGCCGCCGCACTGTGCAAATAAACCCCAAAATGGAAAATTAAAAACACTCTGTATACAACCACAATAATATACGATTCTGCTCATGAATTCATATTTTGTGCATTCTGTCAGCGGTTCGTTTGTGTCTGTTGTTCCGGCCTAAAACTGTGTCACCATTTGTCGTTATTGTTTGGCCCAAATATTTGGCAAAGCGTCAGTTACCATGACTTACGAAAGGTACAGCAGAAATATCTTAAATATATATTATAGTAGAAACCAGATTGGGAAGTTTAGCCATTGGGATGGAAAGGTTTACAGTTAGTGACGCAGGTGAAAGGCGGAACCTCCGCTGGATTCTAGGGGGAAGCCCTTTATCAAGGACGACTACCGGTTTTTTCCAGTGCTGACGTCAATAAGTTCTTTACTTGAAGAACACCTCATTCCAGGTGTAGAATCTTTCAAAATGTCAATTATGAAGCAGAAGCTCCTTGATTAAAACACAAAAACAATTAAGCCCAATTAAACATATGTTTTATATCGGATAAAAGATTTCTGAATAGACTCAGGTAGCGATTTAATTTTATTACTTTTTTCAAATAAGATAAAACAACCTTTTCTTGATCTTACAACTTTCATGTTTTCAAGAAATTGTGTTGAAAAACATAAAAAAAGCGCTGAATGCAATTTGCTATGTTTAGATATAATTCATAGTTGTTCACAACATTTTCAGGTGCCAACTGAACTTATGCTACAAAGTCGACGTAAACAAGCGATTTTCGAAGCACACTTTTAAGATCAACTCATAAATAAACAGGTAAGTAGTTAACAGAGTAGTAGTAACAGCAGTAACACAAAACAATACTTGGGGTAAGATTATTGTGCTTGCCATCTTGGAGCAAGCAAAATGAGGTGCTGAAAAGCAGCTTCTCTATCTTGAAGGGGCCTTGGGCCTGCACGAGTTTTTTGGAATACCTTGTAGAACAAATAGATCACAGATCCGAAAACAATACCAAACCGAGCAGCTAACAGGATCAGCCAATCCCATTGGTAGTAAAGAGGAACATCCTCCGTCTTAAGACGCATATGTGAGGCATCGCCATTGCGCAGGGCGTATTCCGTCCACCAAACTGCTGTGTCCAAAGGACTCATGGGTCGGTCCCTGAAGGACTGCGACATTTTCCTGGCTTTCAGAGTATATTTAGGGTTCTCCAGCAGCTCCCGAATGGTCGAGGTCAACATTTCCAAACTCATCTCGTTGGCGTCCAAGACCTCGGCCATGCCACGCAGATTAACATTCCGCAGATTAATGAACTGGTCGAAGAACACTGGTAATCCCAGGATCGGCACTCCACTGTAAACAGCCTCCATTACACTTAGCAGACCCCCGTTTGTGATGAAAAGTCGAGTATTGGGATGGGCCAGAACCGCGCGCTGTGGAGGCTGTTCAATCACATATATGTTGTCCGCTTTGTTTGGCATGCTATAAAGTTCGGTTTTCCAAACGACCCTCTGCTTGAATTGGACTAAAGATTTCATAAGGTTTTGCTGCATGTCTTCAGGCAAAAACTGCACCAATATCTCCTGTCCCATCGAGAAATAGATAACCCCGTGCTCCGCGTCGTCCATAAATCTCTGCAGTTTCGCATCGCACGGCTCAGGTGGCTCGGTGAGATGCAGTCCTCCGACTTCTATGATGTTCGGCACATTAGATCGCACCCTGCCCATACTGAAATGGTTGTTGACCAAGATCACCGAATACCTCTTCCGCATGTAGTAAAATGTCTGCTCCGAATAGCCAAAAAACTTCTTGAAGATGTGCAGTTGAGATGGTCGGACGATCAGGTGTGTCAGCAACTTTTCCTCTGTGATATGGACCCAGTTGTAAATTTTGCTCAGGAGCGAATTGCCTCGGGAATAGCCCAGCGAGGAGATCGGATCATTGATGCTTGGCGCAAAGTTTCCAGCGACTTCTTCGGTGCTCCAGTTGACATTGCCACCGGAAAACCCCATCAAGGTGGCATTATAGAACTCCACTATGCCATAGAGCGCTTCCAGGGCAGACGGTTCCAGCATAACCAGGTCAAAACGTTCACTCTTGTCCTTTAGCATCCGTTGGACTCCTTCGTCGCTCAGTATATCTAAGGACATATTGTAGAGCATTGTCACTGCCAACCAGCCTGCTATCCATTTGCTGCCGAAGAAGTCCATCATTTGGTCGCACTCGATCATTTCTGCGTGAAAATACAAATTGAATAATGGGAAATACTCCCAAAATTATAGTTTGACTCACCCTGGACGCGTTGATTTAGCTTGGGAACGCGGATATGGCGAACTCCCTCGATATCGGACGGCATTCCAACTGGTGTGATCAACGTTACATTGTGGCCCCGTTTAACTAGAGCCCTTGCCAATGGACGCACAACCAGATTATGGGAGCTGAAGTGGTAGGAAAATATGCCCAGGATGCTGGCAGCCTGCACCGAGTCCTGGCACAGATCCTGTTGCAGGATCACACAAAGCGCGACAGCCAGCCAAGAAAACTCGAGGCGCATTCTCACAATTCAGTCCGCTCATGTCGGAGCTCTGTCCGCAAATGAACGCAATCTAATCTAAGGTGTCGGCAGAAAGTTTTACTGATAACATGAAAGTTTTGAATCCCCTGGCAGTGTAAATATTTGTGAATTATTATCGGTTATTAGTTGCTTGTCTGATAGATAACTATATTCACACCGTAAAACGAACTGAAACTAATTATGGCTATGTCATTATCATTTTTGATTCATTTATTAATTTAAATAAATAATTTTATTCAAAAGGGACATCTATGGAATGCTGAAAAGGCTTATGACTTAAAGTTTAACGGGTAGTGAATCAGTATTAACGAGGGTCATAAATATCCGCAGATAATTGAAGAAATATTGTACATTTTTATTACTGTGTCGTATTACTTTATTGATAAGGTAAAGTGCAATCGATACCCCAAACCGAGCGACGTGTAATTTTTTAAACAAACTGAAACGAAAAAGATCACCGACCCAGCAATCAATAAAAATCGAAGGAAGAAAGTGAGGATGCTGTCTATTCTGTAGTAATGCATTAGTGGAATCTCCTCGACATTGAGGCGAATGTGGGATATATTCCGGTTACGTAGAGCATACTCCGTCCACCAGACAGCCGTATCCAAAGGACTCATGGGGCGGTCCTTAAAAGTCGTTGATATTTTATAGGCATTCAACGCGTACGTTGGATTTTCTATCAGTTCAATAATTGTTTTAGTTAGAGTATCTACATTCAGATTGTTTATGTCCAGGACCTCGGCCATGCCTGCCAGCTGCCCCCAACGCAAATTGCCGAATTGGTCAAAGAACACCGGTAGTCCGAGCATCGGAACACCACTATCCACCGCCTCTATTACACTCAGAAGTCCTCCATTGGTAATGAAGAGACGCACATTCGAATGGGCCAGAATTTGGCGCTGGGGGGCTTTGTCAATGGCATATATGTTATCCGATTTGTTTGGCATATTAAAGAGCTCGTTCTTCCAAACAACCCGCTGCTTTAGCTTTGCAAAGGACATAATCAGTGTCTGCTGCAGGGTATCTGGAAGAAACTTCACCATTATGTCCAGGCCCATCGAGAAGTAGATTACTCCGTGCTCCGCTTCGTCCATAAACTTCTGCAAGCTCTCATCGCACGGTTCTGGGCGTTGGCTTAGATGAATTCCACCCACCTCGATGAGATTGGGCACATTGGATCGCACTTTGCCCAGACTGAAGTGATTGTTGACCAGGATCAGCGAATACCTGCCACGCAATTCATAGAACTTCTCCGTCGAGTAACCGAAGAACCTCTTAAAGACCCGCAGTTGAGCGGGTAAAATTATAAGGTACTCCATCAACTTTTCCTCGTTGATGTGAATCCAGTTCCTAATTCTACTCACGATCGAGTAATCTCTGGAGTAGCCTATTTGAGAAATCGGTTCATTGAGACTGGGCGCTGGATTTCCCGCCAGTTCTTCGATGAACCAGTTAATGCTTGTACTTGTCAGGCCAATTAGAGTGGCATTATAGTACTCCACCAGGCCGTACAGTGCATCCAGGTTGCTAGGATCCATTAGGATTAGGTCGAACCGCTCACTTTTGTCGCTCAACATTTTTTGAACGCCGCCGTCGCTCAGAATATCTTGGGTGATATTGAAATATATTGTAGCGGCCAAATTGGCCTCCTTCCATTTGTTGATCAAGAAGTCCAGAAAATGATCAGTCGCAATAAATTCTGTGCGGGACACAAACGAAAAGTTGTAGGTTGATAAAAGTTTTGTACTCTTTTTAGCCGCTATTAGTCGAAAAATGCCCATTTGATACTTATTAGGCTGTAAATTGAATTACCTTGAATGCGCTCTCTCAGCTTCTGAACGCGAATATGTCGAACGCCCTCCATATCGGGAAGCATTCCATCAGGTGTGATCAGAGTTACATTGTGGCCTCGTTGCACAAGTGCCTCGATCCACGGCCTCACCACCAGAAATGGGGAGCCATAGTAGTATGGAAATATTCCCAGTATTTGGGCTCCTTGCGCCAGGTCGAAGTTCACATTTGGGTGCAATAACAGGCAAATGCCGAGTGGCAGCCAAGCGGAGCTGAGCTGCATTTTCCCGGTTGTACTGCGTCCATGACCGAGGTCTATCCGCAAATGAGCGTAATCTGAACTTAAGTGTCGCCAAACTCAAAAAGCTTTGTTCGATTGCCAAGGGAATTGATAATAGCTCTGGGAGCTCACAGCGAACTTTTATCATTATAAACACAATGGGCAACGTGGTGTTATCTATTCACAACACTATAAATTGCCCTATATACAAATTATCGAGTCTGCAAATGCCGTGACTTTATTATGGATGCAATCGTCTAGGTCTGACGATTTTTCAGAAACAAGGTGTAAACCAAAAAGATCAGCGCTACAGCGACTAATCCAAATCGCAGGCTAAATGCTAAAATACTGTCTATTCTGTAGTATTCAAGCAATGGAACCTCCTCCAAGTTAAGGCGCATTCGAGTAATGTTCCGGTTCCGTAAGGCGTACTCCGTCCACCAAACAGCCGTATCCAACGGATTCATGGGCCGATCCTTGAAGAACTGCGACATTTCCTTGGCTTTCAGTGAATAACTCTGGTTTCCAAGCATGTATTTTATGGTTTCGGTTAGGATATCTTCGTTCAGAGAGTTGATATCAATGACTTCTGCCATTCCGGATAGCTGTCCCCAGCGCATATTACCGAATTGGTCAAAAAACATAGGTAGTCCCAGCATTGGAACTCCACTGTCCACCGCCTCAATCACACTCAGTAACCCTCCGTTTGTTATGAAAAGTCGGACATTTGGATGATTCAAAATCTGGCGCTGAGGGGTCTGTTCCATAACATATACATTGACCGATTTGTTGGGCATATCTAATAGTTCGTTCTTCCAAATAACTCTTTGCTTTAGCTTAGCAAACGTCTGCAGTAGCAGCTCCTGAATGTTTGCAGGGAGAAACTTAATCAGAATGTCGTTGCCCAGCGAGAAGTAAATGACTCCCTGTTCCGCCTCGTCCAGAAATTTCAGAAGCTTCGCATCACATAGTTCCGGGGGCTCGCTGAGATGAAGTCCTCCCACCTCGATAATGTTTGGTGCATTGGCTCTCACTTTACCCATGCTGTAGTGGCTGTTGATTAGCATCAGCGAGAATCTGGATCTTAACTCACTCATCTTTTGTGCGGAGTAGCCAAAGAACTTCTGAAATAGGTGTAGCTGAGCTGGTCGTAAGATCAAATATTCCACCAACTTTTCTTCCATTATATGAATCCAATTATATATTCGACTTAACAACGATGTTTCCAGGGAATAGCCAACCGGAGATATGGGCTCGTATATGGATGGGGCTGGATTTCCGGCCAATTCGTCGGTGTGCCAGTTAATCCGTATGCTGGATAATCCTATCAGGCTGGCATTGTAGTACTCAACCAGGCCATAAAGGGCGTCTAGATTAGCTGGTTCCATGATGATCAGGTCGAACCTCTCGTTTCTGTCATGCAGCATCCTTTGGACGCCAGGATCACTTAGAATATCGTGGGAGGCATTAAAAAGCGCTTTTGCCGTAAGTGCGCTCTCCGTCCATTTGTTAATCATAAAGTCAAGCACTTGGTCAAACTCAAGCATTTCTAAAAATAAAAGAAATAAATAAGCTTATAGACTTTACTGAAGTGACTAACCTTTTATGCACTCGTTGAGCTGAGCAACGCGTATATGTCGAATTCCCTCGATATCGTTTGGCATTTCATTCGGTGTGATTAGAGTCACATTGTGACCTCTCTTTGCCAATGTCCGAACCAAAGGCTGCATCACAAGATATGGCGAAATGTGGCGGTAGGGAAATATACCCAGGATGTGGGCTGCCTGAGCCAGATCCTGGCGAAGATCCTGTTGCAGGAGCAGGCAGAGGCAGATGGTCAGCCATAAATATCCTAGGCACATTTTCACGAACTCGGTTCGTTCATGTTGCAGCTCTGGCCACAAATGAGCGAATCCTATCGGTACTACGCGATACTTTTGAGAGCTCCACATTACTTACAATCAATAACAATCAAATGGCTTGATAACTTTGGATTGATGCATTTTAGAATTAATAGAAAGCTCTTTGCTTCTGACTCACGTGGGAGAGTATGAAAAAAAACCTCATTGCCTCACACTTAAAAATATTTTGTAATGCATCTTATTCAATTAAACCTGATTGATATTTCATAATTTTGTTAGGCATGTATAATACAATTAGATAAGATATGAATAAGATATTAAATGAGTGTATACATTGTATCTGTTGTAGATCTGTGGATCTGCCTTGTATTACCTTAAAAGCGAGATCTAGAAAGCGTGTACCTCAATTTACAATTGGAGTTGAAGCAATCTAGGATACCACTTCATCATCTCTCATTCGAAAGCACTGTTTCCATTTCTCGAAGTCTTCTGTGCATGCTGCGGTTTTTCTGGTACAATTTCCAGCCCAGAAAGATCAGCGATCCACAGACGCAGACCAAGCGAACTCCAAAGGTGAGTAAGCTGTCGAAGCTGTAGTATCGCATTATAGGAATCTCCTCCACATTGAGGCGCATGTGAGAAGTATCCCGATTTCGAAGAGCATACTCCGTCCACCAGATGGCAGTGTCCAGAGGACTCATTGGCCGATCCCTGAAAGACGCTGCCATTTGCTTAGCTCTCTCAGCATAGCTAGTATTTTCAAGAAGCGATTTAATAGTGTCCAAGAGAGTTTCTGCGTTCAAGTCGTTGGGGTCCAACACCTTAGCCATTCCGGCCAACTGCACTCGATGCATATTATTGAACTGGTCGAAGAACAGCGGCAGTCCCAGCATGGGCACTCCGTTGTCAATGGCCTCCATCACACTTTGCAAGCCGCCGTGAGAGATGAACAGCCGGAGATTGGGATGCGCGAGCACCATTCGCTGGGGCACTTTGTCCATCACATATATGTTTTCCGATTTGTTGGGCAGCACGGACAGCTCGTTCTTCCAAACCACCCTCTGTTTCAACTGCAAGAAGGCCTGCAGCAGTTGTTTCTGCATATTCTCCGGCAGATATTTCATCAGGATATCCTGGCCCATCGAGAAGTAGATGGCGCCGTGCTCCGCCTCGTCCAGATATTTCTGCAGTTCCGCACCACATGGCGCTGGGGGCTCGCTCAGATGCACTCCTGCTACCTCAATGATGTTGGGCACGTTGGCTCGCACCCTGCCCATGCTGAAGTGGCTATTAACAAGGATGACCGAGACTTTGGCCCGCAGCTCATCCAACTTCTCCGCCGGATAGCCGAAGAACTTTTTTAACAATCGCACCTGAGCGGGACGGTAAACAAGACGATCCAGGAGCTGCTCCTCGGTGATATAAATCCAGTTGAACCACCTACTTAGGAGCGAGCTATCAAGGGCAAACCCGATAGGTGAGACGGGTTCATATACACTTGGAGCCAGATTTCCCGCCAAGTAGTCGATATGCCAAGTCATGTGCATGCACGAAATTCCCAGAAGGGTGGCGTTGTAGTACTCAGCCAGTCCGTACAGTGCATCCAGGTGGCTAGCTTCCACCATGATCATATCGAACTTCTCACTTTTATCGCGCATCATCAACTGAACACCATTATCGCTCAGAATGGCATGGGAAACGTTGTAGAAAATCGTTGAGGCGAGAACGCCCTCCTTCCACTTGCAACCCAATGCGTCAACAAATTGGTCGTTATCCAGTAGATCTGCAGGAAAATCAATATTCAATGTATCTGTCTGTCGCACTGAATTTTGTAGTACTCACTCTGCATGAGCTGGTTCAGCGTGGGCACTCGTAGGTGACGTACTCCGTCTATTTCGGGCGGATAACCAGCGGGTGTGACCATCGTTACCTTGTGACCCCGCTCCACCAGCGCCCTCATCAAAGGTCGCACCATCTGAAAGGGGGAGGGAATGCGGTACGGGAACACGCCCAGGATACTGGCCGCTTCACCCAAGTCCAGGTAAGGATTCAGGTGCAAAAGCAGACCAAGGGCCAGCCAAGCACAGCCGCTGCGCATTTTTACGCTGCTAGTCCGCTCATTTCAGAGCTCTGTGCTGAACTAAACGCAATCTTATCTGAACTTCACCGATCAACCGCAAAAGTTCCAGTTCGTCGGAGCAAAAGCTATAAAATTTGTTGATAGCTCATGTGTTTATGAGTTTTGGAACTGATAGCTCATGCTGATTCTCGTTGGTTGCGGATAAAGCGTCGGCTTTGGCGCCATCAGGGAAATTTTATTCAAAGCCATCCCCTATGCGTATAGTGTGCTCTCTTTCTATCGACGCTGTAGTCATCTCCCTCTGATACCACCCCAATCCGCATGCGCTAAGTTGGCCATCTAGTGGGGTTTTTTTCAATTGCTAATAGGGGGAGTATTTTGTTTTTTAAATTTTAGCCAGAGGGCGGCACATCTACACTTTTGTGTTCGGTGTTTTCCATACTTTTGGCCACAATTATAGGCAAGATTGAGTGCTGTCCCATAAATGAGTGAGGTGAAATCATACGTTTAGGGAACACTTATGAGGGAAAGAACCATTCCAATTATACTTTTTTTTTTTTTTTTTTTTTTTATTGTAGTTTATTAAGATATACAGGATAGCTATGAACCCTTTTATTACCTTATTTTCTATTGTTTCTGCCAATTGGCGCTCCGGCTATAGGGAATATTTAATATAGCTTTTTCTATTTTGGTCTAATACTCTCATGTTGTTTTATAATTAATATTTAGCTATTAAGCTATTGTTATCTTAGCACTAAGTCTCTTGGTTGACGTCTTTTGATCCTCTGCCTCGGTCGAGTAATGGTGAGATCATTAGCGAGACGATTCCTGTGGTTCATCAGTCTTGAGTTGTACCGACTGGAGTGGAAGTTGATTTGTTGTAGTACCGTAACTAGTTTTAGGTCCCTATGTAGCACGCTATTTCGAATGTACCACTCACAGCCTGTAATTAGTCTCGCTATTTTGTTCTGGGCCACCTGAATATTTTTGATTTGGCTATCTCTTGCTATCCCCCAGATTTGGCAACCATATTGCCAGATGGGAGCAATGACCTGCTTGTATAGGGTGAGCTTATTTCGGGTGGAGAGTTTACTGTTGCTTCTTAGGAGCCACCAGTGCTTTGTCACAGCTGCTCTCACCCTTGTTTTGATGGCTGCTATGTGGGGAGCAAATGTGAGCCGGCGGTCTAATGTTATGCCAAGATATTTGGCCGTACTACACTGCTGTACCATCTCCTCACCTAGTTGAACAGCAGGTGGTGTTTTCCTCCTTAGTGAGAAGCACACGTTAGCTGACTTTTGACCATTTATGCCAATATTCCATCTTCTTGCCCATTGCTCGTACCTGTCAGCGTACTCTTGTAGGCCGTCTGCTGCTTCATATTCGCAGGATGATCTGTAAGTAACACAGACGTCATCGGCGAAATTCCAATTATACTAATAACTATTACAACTTTCTTGCTAGCTTAAATAGCTTTAGTAGTATGAATAGTTTTTAGGCAGCCCGAAAGTATATGGCATAATAGCAATATGCGCGACAAGTTAACAGTTTTTGCTGCATACTTACAGCCTGCAAATGGGAGATGCCCAATTGTGTGGGCAGAGTAAATCAACGCAAATGGAATAAAATATTTAAAATAAATGATCATATTGTAAGAACGCAGTGGCCAGCCTGCCGTTCACGTGACCCCGCAAGAATGTCGGAAAATGCAGCATTTAACCTTTTACGGCACCCGCAGGTGAAGGTGTAAAATGCCATCGCTCCACATTTCGCCGAACGCAGTCTATGGCCTCGTAAATGCAACTGTGCGTTTTATATTTTGACTATAACTCAAAGTGCATTTCAACGGTGCCTCTATTTGCATCCTGCACCCGTGCGGCAGGCTCCGATTGGGCTGCTGTGGGTGGTGGTGGGTGGTGGGTGGTGGGTGTTGGTGGGTGAGTTTATGTGGACGACGGCGCCGTTTAAACATGCATGAGCTGCATGAACGGGAGTCTAGAATGATGAAGTGGGAACTGAATGCAGTGCGACGGGGGTATGCGGTCCAATCAAGGATTCGGGGGAGTTTGGGTGTAGGGGGGTTCGAGGGTTGGCAGCCCAAATTAACTTAACACTCATAAATCAGCGTTAACGGCGACCGCAAAAAGCGTTGCATAAAAAATGGTTATGGCTCCGCTTTTCGGGTCTCCTTTTTTGGAGTGGTTGTCCCTTTGACGGCTGCCGCCGTGCATTGCAAAATGGGATCAGAGTGGCAACAATGCATCGTTGCATTCCAAATAAACAATTCTCGTAAAATGCTACCGTTTGCATTGCTGAGTTGATGGCTGCAACAATTTTGAATAGGCATATCAGGCTGGAGCCATCGAGTTGATAGTCCAGCGGATAGTCCATGGATATATGCCAAAGTGGTTCTGTATCCGACTCAACGAGATTTTTCTGCCGGTTTCCGAGTGTCTAATTAATTAGAATTTGGCAATATTTCATGCTCGATACTACAGCTTCGATTCCCTGAACTACGGATTTCCATTTCCATTTTCTATTTGTTGGATATGCTGGGTACTTCTGTTGTAATGGCCGGCCATTCACTCCAGTTTGCCCAAAATTGCAGCCGTCAATTTTGGTAATTAAATTGTAGTGCTCAATTTGCCATCTCTTTAATCGACATCCAATCATCGATTCGAAGTAATTTAGATGGACTCCAGTTAGCGTTTTTGCGCCGCTACACTGTGCATACTTAATTGGGGGCGGGGCAAAAAGTGTGTGTGTAAAAAGGGCTTCAATTGCAGCGGAATGCATAATAAATAAGTGCTGTGACAGGCGTGTAAACGCTTCCGACGGAAATGTAAATGATATCAATGCGGCAACTCGAGCTGGCAATATTTATGCACTTTTGATTCGGACCGCGGCGCACTAAATCACAATTTGCCGCCAACTGGCGATGACAAAAGCGGGGTTGTCGACTTGCCGACTTGCCGACTTGCCAACTTGCCTTGTCCTTGGGAAAAGCAACCGCAGCAGCAGCTGGCGTCGCATTTTTTTAAAGGACCTCCGACTTGACGACTCAGTCTTTTTCTCGCCTTTTTGCCTCGTTAAATATTGGATGTAATTTATGCGACCAGACGCAGCCGGAAGCGGAAACGAAAGCGGAAGCTGTCTAATTATTCAACGGCAGTTGGTTAATAGAGCGTCTTGGCCAGCCATCCTCCCTCTTCTCTGTGACTTGTTGCCGTATTTGGTGGGCTTACGGACTGATCCTTTGGCCAACTGCACCGTGACGCGGCTGCTTTTAATTATCTTAATGTTGCCACACGGCGTATGCGCAATATTGACTTTTGACGGCGTGCAAATGCCTGTTGTCCTCGCACGCTAGGTGATAGGATATAAAGGAGCCGGAATAAGGGCTCGCTGTCACATTGCATCAAGCGCAAAACAATAAAACGCTCGCCAAGCCCGCCCGGCAGGTGTCGCTGCCGTGATAATGTCAACAGCGGAAACAATAAAAGCCGCAGTTCTCTTTCGAGTTGGCTGCGGGCCCAGCACGGCAAGAAGACATCTGGAGGATGTGCCCAAGTGGGAGTGCCTTCTCCAGATGAAGATAGCAGCTGACGGGGCCGGAAAGGTGGGTAGTCCTTAATGTGTCGTTCTCCTTTTCCGGTTTCTTCTTTTTCACGGAATATGACACAGAGAAAACACAACGCCACACTTTCATGCACCTTCTTTCGATAATCTTAAGGAAAATATTAAGGAAAAAATACCTCTTTTATCTATTTCTTGTACTCTTAAGCGTTTTTTATCTTTACCACAAGAAGTATGGTTCAGGATGTGTTCAAAAATGTGTTACTTAAGCAAGCACTTTAAGGGTGAATGACTTAATACAAGTTCACTTGCAAAAACTATATGATTGATTAATTTGTGCAAATTTTTTTCTGTGGAATTAGCCAGCTGTTAACTTGATAATCCTATGAAGCCAATGCCATTTGGACGACCCCACCTATAGAAACAGCAAATGTTTGCCATTGGTTTTCATTTCCGCTTGGGTCCAAAAGTTGTCAAAGGGTTTGGGATCCTAAGCGTAAAGTTGGCCGAAACGAAGCCTGTTCTGGCCCACATAAATTGCCAGCTGCTGCTGGCAGCCACTTCACACGCCGCTGACAAGCTTCAGACTCAATAAATAACGTTCGCCGGCGGGCTGTCTGTCGGTGGTTTTTTCCATCGGTTTAGTGGAGCCTGCTTCATGGTCCTGGTGCTGCTTCATAAATTGATGCTGGCACTGGGGCTCGGACCGCACGGCCACACGGCCTTGAACCACCGAACGGGCATTTTCCAGCTTTCCTCTCGAGTGTGGCCAATGCAACTTTAGTTTGGGCTTCTGATTGTGTATTTGCCTTTGCTTTGCATTGTGTTGTGTTGTGTTGTGTTCTGCGGTTGGCCGCAAAGTTCCGCTGCCTTTCCCCTTTCCCATTTCCACTTTCCACTCGACCCGAGAAATTAAAATTTATATGTCAAGCAGGCACGGCTGAAAGTTGCGCACCAACTTTGTGGCAGGCAACTTTTGTGCCACATTGAGCGCAATAATGCAAACAATAACAATATTACGACAGCAGCAGGAGCACTTCCTCCCGCGCTGCAGGATAATGCAAACTAATGCCGAGTTGGCCGCATAAAGGTCGCTGGATGAGCTTGTGGCTCCGTTGGCTCCAGTGGCTCCAGTGGCTCCAGTGGCTCGTTTTGTTGCCATTATTGTTATTGGACAAGCGAAATGCAAACGCAAATGCCAGTGCAATTCTCAATGGCCTTAAAGTGTCAGCTGCGGTGCTGCTCTTTGTCCTCGTTTCTGGCCTGCGAGGACTCTAATTGCCGGCTACAAATTCCAATTAGCCGCCCCGAAATCTCCGGCCTGCGAATCGGATGCAATGCACTCGGCATTCAGTCCATTCGGCTGGTCGACTTTTATGAGCATAAGCGAGGCCAATAAAGCGCTCAACCTCATGCGATTATCGCCTCTGCTTCCCCAAACTGCCGGCTGCAAAGCCGCCGAAAACAGAGAAATTGGCCAAAACATCCAAGGCAGCAACAAACAGGCAAAAACGGCCAAAAACAGCCAGAGGAGCTGTGAGCTCTCGACTGCAATTGCAACTCTCCTGCTCTCCTGCTTTCCTGCTTTTCCGAGGGGTCCTTGCCAGCTTTTAAGCGTTCAAATATTTA